GTTTATTTGTACCTCTGGACCCCTTGCTCTCTTCATCTGAAGAAGTTGGTTGTGCCCATGAAAGCTCATGATACCATTGACATTTTTGTTAGTTTGTAAGGTGCTTCAGGACCATTCTTTGTTTTTTAAGTTTATTGCAGTTAGTGTTTGTGATTAGTTGGTAGAGTTACAGGTAGGTAGTTAAGTTTTAGTTTGTTTCTTGGCTTTAAAAAAGAAAAATATTCATTATTAATAAATAAATATTAGACTTGGAGCCCTGCTCCTCCAGTCCTGCAACAGGGACTTGAGTGGAAGCTAATTCTCTGGGTTTTAAGACAGTCCTCTTCTGTGATGTTTCAGTGCCTCTCAATGATGGGAATTCTAAATGGCTTTATTTGTATAGGCAAGGGATATATCCTTGACCATTGCTCCTTTTTTTTCCCCTTCAAGTCGACTCAGAAAGCTAGAGGCTTTGCATAAATTTATTTCTTTTGGAGCTCTCCATGAAAGTACTAGTAGGTCAGATATCGAGTGATTGCTCTGCAAAAAGTGTTCAGCCGCAGGTAATATGGTGGTTTTTGTATCTTATCAGTTTTCTATATGAGTCCATTTGGGAGCAGAGCGATTGTCTGGTTGCTCACCACTCTGTTGGAACCCTTTTATCTCCACTGGGATTTGGCATCACTTGGCACCAGTGCAGTTGTCCTTTTTGCTTATTGTGTGAGGTTCAGTTTAGGGGGACTCCAGAGGTGAAAGTAAGGTGCCACACCACAGTGTGCTGCTCTGGTAGGAGGGGCACACCCCTCTACAGGAGACAGGCAGGCAATTTAAAGGGGCTGGCTGGCGGGGGTGAGCTGAAGGGGAGGTGCACACGCTCCTAGCTGGTGTAATGATCACAGCCGCCATCTGGCCCCAGCACCTGGCCCCACTCCTGCCAGTGGGTGTGGCATCAGCCTCTGTCTAGCCAGGCTATAGCTGCAACTGGCAGCCCAGCTCCTGCCTGTTTCAGGAAGGGCTGGCAGCAGCCCTGCTCCTGTCACAGTGGCCCAGCCTCAGCCTTGCTTCTGCAAGAGGGGCTTGGAATTGGCCCCTGTCTAGATGGGCCATGGCTGCTACTGCAGCAGTTTGGCCCCAGACCCAGCCTGGGTGTGGGCCCCATGGTCTGGCCCTCATCTGGCAGCAGACCCAGTGCTGCCGCAGCAGCCCAGCCCCGCACAGAATCAGCCCCTGTCCAGCTGCAGCTGCTGCCGCCTGGCTCCAGCCCCAGCCCTGGGGCGGGCCCCGCAGGCTGCCCCCCATCTGCTGTGGGAGGGGCTAGCAGTGGCCCCATCTGGCTGTGGCAACCTAGTCCCAGCTCTGCTCCAGCATGGCAGTATAGAAGGGGAGGTGGAATCAGCTGCAGTGGCCCCGTTCCAGCCAGGTAAAGTTAACCCCCCACACACCTCAATCCCCTGCCTCCTGCACTCCCCACCCCAAGTATCATTCTCTCCTGCACCCCCTCGATTCCCAGCCCCCTGTCTTGACTCCTGTGCCTCCACCCATAGTCCCAGCCTCCTGCCCTGCTTCCTGCACTCACACCCCACCCCAGCCCTCTGCCCAGAAGCGCCTGCACTCTACCACACACTTAATTTTTTTACAGAGGGGAAAGTTGTGATAGTACAGTACCTGTAAGAAATGTTAAGTTACTTTCACCCCAGGTGACTCCCTCAACTGAGGCAAGCTAACTACAGTTCTGTTGCTTTTACTCATACAGTAAGGAAAACAATATTTCATTACTCCGACA